GGTGACTTTTCCTCCCCAGCATATCAATGGTCATGCAGTTGGATCCCCTGACCTTTCCTCCTTAGAGATAACATCTATGCCTCAATTGTATTTCAGCTCCAGGCCCAAATAAGCTATCAAACCAGTCACCGCTGACTGTCAGGGCCAGCTGCACTGAAAAATGACTCCCTGCCCCAGTGATGACCAATCAATCAGTGGAGACCACAACCCTGAAAGGACACACCTGGAAAACTGCTGAATATTCTTTTGAAATCTTCCCCTGGGACTTCTCTTAAAATCTCCACCCTTGCCTGGCCAGCGTGGCTCAGTGGCAGAGCATCGGCCTATGACCCAGGAGGTCACGGTTGGGAGGTCACGGTTCAATTCTCGGTCAGGTCACATCCCGGCTTTCGGGCTCAATACCCAGTGTGGGGTGTGCTGGAGGCAGTCGATCAATGATTCTCTCTCATTATTGATTTTTCTATCTCCCACTCCCTCTCCCTTCCTCGCTGAAATTAATAAAAATATTTTTTAAAAATCTCCATCCTTAAAACCCTAGTGCCCTAGCTGGTTTGGCTCAGTGGATAGAGCGTTGGCCTGCGAACCAAAGGGTTTGATTCTGCTCAAGGGCCTGTACCTCGGTTTCGGGCTCCTCCCCGGCCTTGGCCCTTTTTGGCTTAAAAATCTGCCATCAAGGCTCACATTGATGTTTCTTCTGTCTTTCCCTCTCTCTTGCCCTATCTCTAAAATTCAATGGAAAAATATCCTCGAGTAAGGATTAAAAAACAAAACAAAAAACAATAAAAACGTTAAAACCCTAGGGCTAGGACCCAGAGTTCTCCCTCCTGGGAGCACACCACAGATCTTTCCTTCTCTTCTCTTTCCTTCCCTTACACCTCCCAGCCCCAGGCACATTAACACTAGCTTCGTCACTCACAGCTTCAAAGGCCCTTTTCTTTACCTCTATAACTTGTTTCCTAAGCCCATTTCTTTTAGGAATTATTTTTTCTACCTCTATGATTTACCAAATAAATGTTCTCTTACAGTGTGGGTCTTGGCTCTGAATTCTTTCCTAGCCAGAACCCAAGTACTGAGGTTGCTGAACCCAAGTTTGACCTGACCCCACCTGTCAGATACCTAGCGCAGTTCCTGCCCACCACCACTTACAACACAACCAGGGGAGAAATGCTCCTTGTTTCACTGTCCTATGTTTTTGCTGAGGTCAATAAATTCTTGCTCTCTTTGTCTCCTGATTGAAATCTTTCCCTCAAGAAGATAAGAACCAAGATCTCATCCTCTCCACAGTAACAATGGTGAAGATTTAACCAGTAAACCAGTGGTTCTCAACCTTCCTAATGCCGAGACCCTTTAATACAGTTCCTCATGTTGTGGTGACTCCCAACCATAAAATTATTTTCGTTGCTACTTCATAACTGTAATTTTGTTACTGTTATGAATCGTAATGTAAGTATCTGATATGCAGGATGTATTTTCATTGTTACAAAATGAACATAATTAAAGCATAGTGATTAATCACAAAAACAGTATGTAATTATATATGTGTTTTCCGATGGTCTTAGGCGACCCTGTGAAAGGGTCGTTCGACCCCCAAAGGAGTCATGACCCACAGGTTGAGAAACGCTGGAGTAAACGAATATAAAGTCCTCAGCACAATGTGTGCTTTCACTCAAATCAGAGCTTTTTGAAAATGCGCCCCCCCCCCCATCTTTTACTATTAGAGTGGAAAGTAAACAGGCACAGCCCTGTGATGTTGACACTCACAATCAAGCAGAAGGTATAGACAACAACCACTCAAAGGATGATGATAATGAAGATGTTGATGGTGATAAGGACACTGCTGCTACTAAGTACTAACAGCAGTGAGGGCTTATTTAGAACACACTCACCAAAGCAATATGCTCCTTATAACAGGGTGGGGAATCTTTTTTCGGCCAAGGGCCATTTGGATATTTATAACATCATTTGCAGGCCATACAAAATTATCAACTTAAAAATGAGTCTGCTGGAGAGAAACCAAGATGGCGGCATAGGTAAACACGGGAATTTACTGCCTCCCACAACCACTTCAAAAATACAACTAAAAAACAAAACGGACATCATCCAGAACCACAGGAAAGCTGGCTGAGTGGAAATTCTACAACTACAAGGAAAGAGAAAAGCATACTGAGACTCAGAGGAGGTGGGGAAGTAAAGTGCAGAGGTACGGAGGCGCACGTGGAAAGGGCTGGCAACTGAGGACACAGTTGTCTTTTTCCATCGGGAGGGAGTCTCAAGCTCCTGACTGCTCTGAACTCCAGTTCCGGGCGAGTCTCTGGGAACCCAGACTCATACAGGGAGAAACTGGACTGTCTGGCGTCGGTTGGTACTCGAGGGCGGTTTTCTCTCAGAGGTGCTTGCAGCGATTACCGGGACACTGAGGCGTGGGGCCTCTTAGGGTAGGACTGAGGTTCAGCCATAGCTGTCTGCTCCTCCCTGTTGATTCCCTGAGATCCCGCCCCACCCAAGCTGTGCCCAGAGGCTTTTGCATATAAAGGCCTGGCCCTTTGCAATCTGAAAATTACCTGACAAACTGCAGCTGGGTCAGAGAGACCCAGAACTTCCAAAAGAAGCCCCAAGGCCCCACAGCAGCTTGAATTGCTTCACAGCTGGGCCTCATCTGGGCATCTCCAAACCCCAAACAAAGAAGAGGAATCTGCAGATCTCTCCATAGCCCCTGCTGGGTAGCTTCAGGCAGAGGCTAAATTAGCACCTCCTTGGAGATCCAAGAGCCAGTGTACCCAGTGGTCAGAGTGGGACCATCCAGATTACAACTCCTCAGATCCAGAAGGGACACACTCAGGGGGCAGACTCAGTGAGCACCAAAGCCCCACTGAAGCAAGTCTTGCCCCAGAAGGGTGTCTCCAGCAGAGAAGTTCTCCCACTGCAGACACAGCTGATTCTCACAGCCAATTGGCCTGGAGGTCAATTCCTCCCAGTGATACCTACAACAATCAAGGCTTAACTACAACCAGACTGTGCACAAAGCCCACAAAGGGGTGCACCAAGAGTGTCCACCTCAGGTAATTGGGGAGGCTGAGCCACTGGGTCCCATAGGACACCTAGCACAGAAAGCCACTCTATCAACACAGGGAAGCATAAAAAATGCGAAGACAAAGAAACAGGTCACAAATGACAGAAATGGAGGAAAGCAAACTACTGGATATAGTGTTCAAAACCACACTTTTAAGGTTTTTCAAGAATTTTCTAGAAACTGCCGATAAATTTAGTGAGACCCTCAAGAAATCTAGTGAGACCCTTGATGTTATGAAAAAGGACCAACTAGAAATTAAGCATACACTGACTGAAATAAAGAATATTATACAGAGTTCCAACAGCAGACTAGAGGATCACAAGAATCAAGTAAAAGATTTGAAATATGAAGAAGCAAAAAACACCCAACCAGAAAAACAAAAAGAAAAAAGAATCCAAAAATATGAAGATAGTGTAAGGAGCCTCTGGGACAACTTCAAGTGTACCAACATCCGAATTATGGGGGTGCCAGAAGAAGAGAGAGAGCAAGATATTGAAAACCTATTTGGAGAAATAATGACAGAAAACTTCCCCTACCTGGTGAAAGAAATAGACTTACAAGTCCAGGAACCGCAGAGAACCCCAAACAAAAGGAATCCAAAGAGGACCACACCAAGACACATCATAATTAAAATGCCAGGAGCAAAAGACAAAGAGAGAATCTTAAAAGCAGCAAGAGAAAAACAGTCAATTACCTACAACAGAAACTATGCAGGCCAGAAGGGAGTGGCAAGAAATATTCAAAGTGATGAATACCAGGAACCTACAACCAAGATTACTTTACCCAGCAAAGCTATCATTCAGAGTTGAAGGTCAGATAAAGAGCTTCACAGATAAGGAAAAGCTAAAGGAGTTCATCACCACCAAACCAGTATTATATGAAATGCTGAAAGGTATCCTTTAAGAAGAGGAAGAAGAAGAAAAAGGTAAAGATACAAATTATGAACAACAAATACACATCTATCAACAAGTGAATCTAAAAATCAAGTGAATAAATAATATGATGAACAGAATAAACTGGTGAATATAATAGAATCAGGGGCATAGAAAGGGAGTGGACTGACTATTCTTGGGGGGGAAAGGGGTGTGGGGGTGCGGGAAGAGTCTGGACAAAAATCGTACACCTATGGATGAGGACAGTGGGGACGGGGGTAAGGGCAGAGGGTGGGGTGGGAACCGGGTGGAGGGGAGCTATAGGGAGAAAAAAGAGGAACAACTGTAATAATCTGAACAATAAAGATTTAATTAAAAAAAAATGAGTCTGCTGCCCTGACCAGTTTGGCTCAGTGGATAGAGCCTCGGCCTGCAGACTGAAGGGTCCCAGGTTCGATTCTGGTCAAGGGCATGTACCTTGGTTGTGGGCACATCCCCAGTAGGGGGCATGCAGGAGGCAGCTGATCGGTATTTCTCTCTAATCAATGTTTCTAAGTCTCTATCCCTCTCCCTTCCTCTCTGTAAAAAAATCAATAAAATGTATTTTTTTTTTAAATGAGTCTGCTATATTTGGTCAAATATTTAATTAACTTACTCCTAATGCCTTGGCAGGGCCTTAGATGGCTTGCAGGCTTGGATGTTTCCAACCCCTGCCTTATTACAACCTTCTGAAGTGCCTGAGGCTATGATAGTTGATTTAAATATATGTGGGAATAACCCTCTAACCTCCTTGTTGAGTGGCTGGGATAGTACCTTCCTTGTGGTTAATATTAATCAGGTAAAATGATGCAGGGTTATAGGAATGGGATGGTAAAAGAAGTTCTAAGCAAAAGGAATATAAATGCCCAAAGCAGAGAATGCACACAGGGATGACCAAAGAACTAAGGTTCAGGCAATGTACATGCAGGGTTCTAAGCAATCTATAAATCCATATATTAGGTATAGGGGTGACTGGAGTGATAGAAAAAGAGAGGTAAACTGCCAGAGACGCCGCCCACCTGTTAGCAGCAGCCTGTACTGGGGGATCCTCTGAACTGGCTTGAGCAGGTAGTGCTTGAGGGCCAGATTAGCACAGCGTGGGCTCATCTGAAAGGAAAAGGCATCCAATATAAACACAAGCATTTTTCTAAGAAGCAGGACCAGATTCAGGTGCCAAAGAAGGCAAATTTTAAATAGCCAGCAGCTCTAGAAGGGAATTCACAGAGAAATTCCCTTTATTTTAAGCTGTACCTATGATGCTGAGCATGAAACTATAGCCAATTCATTACGTAGTCCACCCTCTCCCATAGGTTAATAAGTCTCTCAAATCACTGACTCAGGGAAAACTTGTTCACAGCCCTCACATACAGAGAGTGGTGGCTGCATGTTAGGCCAATTTAGAGCCCATCCTACTCAGCAGCTGCCACTGAGAGGAGCATTTGCCAATGCAGCCGCTAGGGACGCTACCAGTGCATGAATTTTGTGCACTGGGCCTCTAGTGCAGTGGTTCTCAAACTGTGGGTCGCGACTCCTTTGGCAGTCAAAGGACCCTTTCACAGGGGTCGCCTAAGACCATCCTGCATATCAGGTATTTACATTACGATTCATAACAGTAGCAACATTACAGTTATGAAGTAGCAACGAAAATAATTTTATGGTTGGGTCACAACATGAGGAACTGTATTTAAAGGGCCAGAAGGTTGAGAACCACTGCTCTAGTATATTCATAAACATAAACAAAACCTTTGAAAAAGAAGACAATGCATGTCCCCCAAAGTAAGTTGGCAGAAATAAACCTACTGGGAAATGGATTCAAATAATAATCAGAGCCTATCAATATACTCATAATAACAATGGTTCATACTGCAGAGAATTGCAGAAATTAAAGATCACCTGAAAAGTAGCCTTGCTAAGCATCTTTTCTCTAATAAGTCTGAAGAATTTAAAACTTTCTTAGATGATTGGCTATAAGAGACAACCCCCAAATCACAGTGGATATAGAAACATTTGATTCAGAACCATTCTGACTTGACTGCAAGGACATTTGATTCTGCCTTTAAAGCTCTTTTCTTGGTGTGTACAACAGACACTTCTGTCCATTCCTAAGCCCCACCCCATTCTCCAACACAGGTATTTACTGTGAGGTGGCATCACAATGGCCAAGTGAAAATGTCCCTCATCCAAAGATATCCTGCACGTCTTATACAGATCAGGTGGATGGGGAACAGGTTTTTTTCTGCGTTTTTTCCCCCCAGATTTGTTCAGATTGTTTTATTTTTTTCTAAATATGCACCTCCAAGTTCTGGTACACAAAATAATTCTGAAATTATATGATAATGCATGTTAAGAAAGCATCTATCATGCAAGCACCATTAACCCAAACAGCTACCTTTCCCATCTTATGGTGTGTTTTTCTCTGCTGAAGCAACAGAACTACTCCTTGAACCCGATGAAAACCTGGGTCAATTATCAGTTCCATAACTATGTACATCACACTTCCTTTCTTAATAGTGTGAAGACATTAGCAGAGAGGTAAAAAGCAAGTAAAAAAAGACTACGAACAATTTTAAAGTTTAATTATTTGTGTGTTTTTTTAAAGCACACATGCTACTAATTTAAAGTAAATTTAATTCTACACGGCCTTGTTTTTTTAAAAAAATTGTGTTGCCTTACAATGCCGTTTGAAACCTGCAAAGTACATTAGAAGTAAGAAAGAAAAGGGAATGGCTGGTTTTCATTTGAATTGTTTTTTGATAAAACTATATTTGGTAAATATTTTACAGATTAAAAATTAACATATGACCTGGTTATTTTCTTGCCTACTATACAAATTAGAAACCAGCAGTATCTTTTTTTTCCTAAGGAGCTCCTTTTATTATTTTTTAATTTGTATTTAATGATGAGAGAGAGAGAGAGAGATCTGTTCTTCCACATATCCATGCATCCTTTGGTTGATTCTTGTATGTGCCCTGACCAGAAATCAAATCAGCAACCTTGGTGTATCGGGACAACACTCCCACCAATTGAGTTACCCATTCAGGGCAAAATCAGCAATATCCTAACACAGCTAAAATTTTTCTATTTTTGTGTGACTGGAATTCACTAAAATTTTTAGTTTCAAAGCAGAGAAATAATCACTAAAGCATATAGTAATTTTACCTAAAATTAGGGGAGAAGACTTAAGTAAAACTGTAGTTAAAAATTATTTTTTTTTAAAGAAGCATTATATCAGTTTATAACAAACCAAATTAGGCTTGTACCCTCACAGCTTTGAGACAAAACACAAAGATTTGGCAATAAAAATACTATTCATTTTTCTTAACAGTGACACAAAAACTATGTTATTTATTTATCTAAAGGGAAAAAATTATATTTCCATCCATGATTATAGATTAGTTGTTATAAGAATAAAGGGAAAAGTTTAGTTAAAAGTAACAAGTGTTCTCTAGAGTAGTCAAATTCACAGAGACAGAAAGTAGAATGGTGGATGCCAGGGGCTGAGGAAGCAGAGAATGGGGAGTTAGTGGTTTTTTAATGGGTATAGCTTCAGTTTTGCAGATGAAAACAGTTCTGGAGGTTGGTTGCATAACAAAATGAATGTACACTTAAAAATGGTTAAGAGGCTTAAGTTTCATTTTTTGAATATTTTACCACACACACAAAAAAAGAGACTTTAAAATATTCAAATGTGCAATAACAGATTTCCAAAATTAAATCTTGTAGACACTGTTTGAGTTCTATTGAATTTGTTCAACTCCCTCTTTGATTTTGAAGGGATTATATTTTAATATCTTTCTGTTTGCAAGGTTTATTTTCAATGACTGCAGATTAAAACTTTAAAGCAAACAAACAAAAGCTCAACATTAGATGGTAGCAAAAATACCTCAAATTCTCTAACAACAGCAGCGAAACCTGGGTTTTTCTTGCACTGCTCATCCAGCAAAGCTATATTCTTATCAAATTCTTTGATGTATGTGGAATACATTTTTAGATATGGCCCCTTCTTTACAAAGATATCAGCAATTCTTTGTTGTTCTGTCCTAAAGATAAAGAGATACACAAAAATATAAAGGGTCATTAATGTATCCAAAACATGTCCAATGAGCAGAGTCCCATATTCAAGCATCAGCTTATCTCTTTTCTCTTCTTGTGAGACATATCCCAAATGGCTACTCTTTACCATTTCCACTGCCAACATCACATCTTGCCAGGATTCTGCCAAGAAGATGGTCTCCCTGCTTCTACCATGCCATTCTTTGTGCAGCCAGAGTATAAAAACATATATCATGTGACTTCCAATAATCTCCTTGGCTCTAGCAGAAAAATAAACTCCTTGTCTGAGAGGCTTACGAAGCCCCACAGGTGCCACTGCTTATACTTTGCTGACCCACCTTACCCTTCTCTTCCTCTTGCTCTTTACTCTCCAGCCACACTGGCTTTCTTCATAGTCTTTTGACACAGAGAATCCATAACCACTTTCAAAACTTGTATTAATGGTTTCACAAGCCTGGAGATATGGAACCCAGGCTGGCCACTCCTTTTTGGTCAGATGTCATTTTCAATGTGCTGCCTTCTTAGAGGGCCTTCCTTAGCCACCCAATCTTCATTCACTAACACATGATCCTATTTTACATATATGCAGATCAGAAACTGCTTCTAACTAGTTGTGTGTGTGTGTGTGTGTGTGTGTGTGTGTGTGTGTGTGTGTGTGTGTTTGTATGTTTGTCTGGTGCTTCCCTCACTAAAACGTTTGCTCCATGAGAGTAAGAGACTTATATGTTTTGTGTGCTGTGATATGCCTAGAATGCTTAGAGTGCTGATTAGCACATACTAGGTATTCAAAACTTGTTGAACACAGAAATGAAAGGTTTCATCATTGTTATTAAAAGCCAGTATAAAATAAATGTTATTTCAGAAAGTCTATTAACACCAAAGAATGTCTTGATTCAAAAAACCCTTAAAGAAAAATATTTTAATAAGTAGGATATATCTTATCCCTTGTTAGTAATAAATATAGCTTTTGCCAGAGTTGTTGTTCTAGTTGTCCCTTAAGTTAGTCTGTCTCTTAGGGATGCTTAATATTTTAACACAGAACATCTATAGATCTAAACCTGAGAAAACTTTAGTACAAGCAAAAAAGATATTTAAGGTTCCACTGCTTGCATAAATATGCACATCCTAGGTCACTTCAGATTATTTTAAAGCTAATTTTTATAAGAATGATTAAGTATGTACAGTAGCTATTTAAATACATTTTCTTTCTACCATGACTTTAAAAACTACCTTTTAGTCATTCCTCAGACCTTAACTTTGCTTTATGCTTGTAAACTGCTGCTAAGTAATTGCTTATTTAGCATATTTTCCCAAACAAGCAGAGACATGATATTTCTAAAGTAGGCAGTGGTATTTTTCTGGATTATAAATAAAGAGAGTTTAGAGGGAAATTGTGATCATGAAAGTATGTGATATTGTTTTGTTATTCAAATCATTGTGGGTTCCCTATGGATTTCAACAATAAATTCAATCTCTTAGACCAAACTTTCAACATATTTCTGAAGCTGTTACCAAAGTTTCTACGCCCAATGGAAGCTCTTGACTATTTGGTATCCTTCACCTGTCCTGAAATCTACAGCATCTACAATGATGTCAGACACATGCAAATTTTCTAAACCAGCCAACCAAATCAATTTATCTCAGTGAATGGCCTCTTTTCCAAAACACAAGGAAATTTCATGACTTGAAGCTCAAGAACAGATAGATAAAACATTAAAAAAATGTTTTCCAATGTGAAAATATCAACTAAACAATCTCAAAATTCTTGATTATCAAAGGTCACCTATAAAAAGTTAAATTGGCTGATTATGGGCCCTTCTGGCTTACAGCTTCATCTAAAATTGGAAACCCTAGGAAAGCAGGTCAGCTCATTTTTACCAGTTCGACACTCTCTCCTCTAGTTCCTTCAGGAGATCCCGGTTGAGCTCGTACAGCTGAGGCAAGTAGTATAGGATCTGATTTAGGATCCGGTCCTCAATCACTGGTTTCCCAAGTTGTCTGGAAGCATGAGCAACAGCATCCCGGAAATCCTATTACAGTTCAGAGGAGAAAAACAATACAGGTACACATATAACCTGAAAAAACTTTTTCCCCTAGTCATCGTATTCCCTAAAACAACAAAAATTGCAAAACTGTGTTCCCCTTGTAGAATTAGAAGTTGAAAAGTATACACTTCCTTCTATCCCACTTACCTAGAGAGTTTTGTTGTTTTGTTTTTTTAATACAAAGTGACTGGGGTAGATACTTGATTTTAAAGCAGTCTGTGTGATATTGCTCTTAAATCTTTTGGTTTGCTCTCCAGTTATACTCAAGGGCATGTTTAGAAACTGTATTGCAACTCTAAGTAGAGTCTAAAATTATTCCAATACTGCAATATGAACACAATCTATTTTAAAAGCCTCCAGGAAATCTTAGCTAAATTTATTCTGGAAGAATCCCTTTGTCTACTTTCAGTAATCACTTCCCAACAACTGGAGCATTCTAGGTGAAGCATGTGAAGGATGACACATTCTTGATAATCAGAGAACACTGGATTTAAGACCTCCTTCACTCTTGGTTTACTGTGCTTCCTTGAGCTACCTTCATTTTCCTCATCTTTTTCATTATTAATAACGCCAAATAACAATGCATTTAATCTGTACCAAAGTTATTTGAACAAAATGATTTTCTTACAAAAAGGTTTCATTTTATTGGACATTTTTTATTCATTGGTTAAAAGAAAAAAATTAAACTGTCCAGAATAGTATATCAAAGGGAAATCTAGGTATGATTGAGGCAAAAAAATAAAGTTTCTGAAGAAAACCAGTGACAGTCTCTTAACAATGAATGTAATATGTTCTTTCTAGGTTGCTTTTGTTTTTGTTTTTCAGGGAGGGAAGGACAATATGCCCAGCTAAAAAATGCTTTCTCTTCAGATTCCTTTTCAGCTAGGGATGGCCATATGACCCATCTAATTCTAGCTACTGCGCTACAGATGAAAATTTCTGAGAGGGGCCGCAGGAAAATCTTTTTATTCACCTTCTAAATTCTGTCATATTTAGGATAATAGATAATTTGTTAAATTGAGGAGCACTTCATCTAGGTATAAATTGTAGATTATTTAACAGATAACATTTAGAATTTGAAGTCTGACTTTTTTGTCACTATTGTTTAGTTTCAGTATATATACAGTTTACATAAAAATTAACTGGTATGTGTCTAGATTTCACTATCCCTGGAGGGTAGACCTCAAGATATAAGTAAAACAATAGTGGGATCTTTTCCACAATCCTGAGGATTCAAAAACAAATACTGTTCCTTCTTAGAAACAATAGGTTTAATTAAAACCTTAAAGCAATGGTTGAATAAACCAGACTCCTATCAGACTTTATCTTCCATTGCCTTTATTTCCACCTGCTTTCCCTTCAGCGATTCACTGGGCCAAACAAACAAGCAAACAAACAAACAAAAATACTGATTTTTCCCCCTGAGCCCTTCAACACCTTCCTCCAACACACATATAGTAAGCGTAAGTATTTCTTATGCTTCTTGTGAAGGATAAAAACCTCATAAGTAATTTTAAAGTACATAAAAGGATTCCTTTTCTAAGGTATGGCTATTTTAGATAAGTCAAATCCTCTTTTGCTAACCAAATGCTAAAAACAAACACCTTCACTTCTACCTTAGTACCTGGGACTAACTTTATCTGCCCAAGGGTCACATTAGCCCAAAGGAACCATCTACTTACACCAGTAACTAAAGAACTACTTTTACAACTAATTACTGTAATAGAAAATAAGAATTCCTAAGTTGTATAAACTCCAATCCAGAAAACCACACAAAACATCTCCAGAAACTAAATGGATATCGGCCAAATTCCACCTCCCAACAGCTTGCTTCTATCAGCACTCACATCTACTAAGAGAAAATAGGGCTACTTAACACTTTTGAAAGTCATTAGATTTTTCCATCATGCAGAACATTAGAATATACGTATATATCATGAATTACTTCCTCAATTGTAAATGTATTCAAAGCACAACAGGTAAACATCCTCTACAGTATTTTTTTTTTTTTTACTAGTTTAACAATTAATTTAATTTAGACATGAGTTCCTTGTTCAACAAAGCAGTAAGCACTGGCCTTTTCTCTGGTAGACTAAATGATGAATATGTTTGTCCCTTAGAAGCAGGGTGACCTTTGTTTTCCAGTTGGAAGGTATTTCCTCAGTCATGACAGTGACAGCAGACATTAGCTGCTAACTAGCTTAAGGACCCTGTTTGACACAGCTTTTGCCAGACTCTGCATTCCACACATCTGCCACCATTGCCAAAAAGGAAACTTGTTTATTTAAGACACATTCAACAGAGACACAGTCAAATAAATCCACACTAGGCTGACCAGTGAGATGGCTGCCTCTAATTGGAGGCCCCAGTCGCATTACCAGGCAAAACTTTCCTTTTCCCGGTACTACTAGTATAGTGGATGGCATAGGCCGCTCTGGATGAACTAATGGCCCATAATATCTTTTCTCAAAATTAGCCTGTAAGAATAAAACAGAAATTTAATAATTAAAAGAGCAAATGAAGGACACTGAATAGAAACTATAGGATTTAGAGAATTAATATCCAGCTATCTATTAGAAATTATCCCTAAGCCTCAGAAAGTGACATATTCTAAGCAAGCACTACCAGGACAATCACTGGTCTTTGTGGCACCTTTTTGAAAATGGAAAAGGGCACAGCATCCTTCACGCCAGGTCAATCCAACTTACACCAAAGGCCCTACTCACAACTCATGGCTTTTGTAACTATGCATGGTAGCCCTGGCCTCAATCTCATTCCCTCACCTCTTGGGCCATCATCCCCTGAAAATAATGTACTATGGTCTCGGTGCGAGATGTTCACACAGGAATGACACACAGAATGTTTAACTTCTCAGCTCTTCATGAACCTCAACCATTTCTAGGACTGGTGTCACTGAAAGGAGGAAATATCTTTTTTTTAAAAAAAATAGAAAGGATGATCACAACATGTGTCTAGTTATTTTTCTAAATGCTAACATCCAGGATAATTTGGGAAAGTGTGATGACACAAAAGCCAGAAGTAAAGTTATTTTGGGGTAGAAGAATCTAAATTGACTAAATCAGTGAGGATGCAAGACCACAGGCCTGGCACTTCAAAAATTAGATCCAGATATACTTTTTCACACTGAAAAGGCTGGGTAATTAAAATAAAAGGGGTGATTAAGTGACAGACTTTACTGATATCAACTACATAATGTCAGTCTAATCTCCTAACATAAAACCCACCGAACCACTTGCACTCTAGCTTCTGGGCACAATAACCACATGCTTGTTCAATTTGGAATTTTTAGAAATAGAAATGGGTTTCTAAATTATAAAACATACCATACAATTTTTCTTCATAATTCCCAGAAAACCTAAAATAAGGACCAGATCAACTTTAAAAAACTCAGCTCCTTTGAGGTATGAACACACTAGTTTTAGTTCAACTCTGATCACTTTGGTAAGAACTCAGCAAAAATCAATGCAAATAAAATCAAGTATGAACATCTAAGGCAATAACCACCAAACAGATGGCCTTGTTCCTCGGGTCAGGCTTTATAACTCTAGTGGCAAAGAGAAGTAGTGACTTAATTACCAGCTGTCCTGCCTGGGCTCCTGACCTCAGGGCATTACTTAACCACTGCTAGGATACAATGAATTACAAAGACCAGATGGACATATGGGCAGACAGGGAGCTCTGCAGGGCTCCCTGCCTTCATGAAGGGCATTAAAAATCACTTCATATTAAGCAAAAGCAAAGCAGCTGCTAAGGTCAAAGAGCTTTGATAAATATGCAGAAATGAGTGTGAAACTATGAAGTAAAAGTAGAGGGGGAAAGTCCCCATATTAATAAGTTGACTTTGTTTTTAAATAAAAATATTTTCCCAATGAAAGTATTTCTACTTCTCTTTATGCTCAGGTCTATTATTGTGCATAATCGTTGATGCAAAACTGTGTAAAATACGACTGACATCAATCCTTTATCTCAAGTCTCCAAACCCCTTAATAACATTAACAAGTAATCATCATAATATATCCTAAATGATCAATATCTACCTTCATTCTCATCTTTAAAAGATAAAATACTATGATTTCCTGGGCCAACGGAAAGAATTCTGAAAACAAGCTTCTACACTAAAAAACAACTAATCCCTCTCCAGTATGGTAGAGATTTCAGGAAACAATTTTTAATCAAATTCTGAACAATTCACTAAGTACAAGGGCTGAGAGAGACCTGAGTTAGAGCCTGGCTTTGCCATTTAGTAGTGGGTTACTTTTGGCAGTTAGCTTACTTTCTTCATTTAAAAAATAAAAATAACATCTATTTGCTAGGGCTGTTATGAAAATTGAAATAAATAATTTATATAACATAGCATGGTAAAAGGCACATAGAGAGTACTCACTAGAAGGCCATTAATTTAATGAAAGGAGAGATTTGGTTAATTTAAATGAACACATGAACGTCATTTAAGATCCACAAGTTCCTGGAGGCTCTGAGACAGTGGCCTATAAAGTGAAGGAAATACCAAACCAAGGTGGGGAAACCCACATCTCAGCAGCGAGACAAAGGTGCCCTTAACAAAGAACTTCATTCAGTGAAGGATGGTCCTCACATAAAGGAAGCTGCTCAAAAGTGAAGGTTTGGAAACCATGTCAGTAGACACTTAAGGAGGATTCTTTACAACTAAAACTAAATGATAATTAAATGGTTCACAAGATTTAAAAAAATAGGGTGTATTCAGAACATGGGAAAAACTAGAGGCTTCTATGAGAAAGCCTTCTATTATTCTTTTTATAATGCATTAAAAAAGATATATTTTATTTACTAATAATACACATCTAGATATCTAAGAAGCTTTGCCAACCCTATGGACTTACTGAGAGCCTCTCAAATTTTCAAAGTAATGTATCCCCCAACCTAAAGAAATTAGTGTAACAAATGCTTCAATACTAGTACCTTTTAACTATTACGGTTAAGTTAAA